CACACACACACACACACACACACACACACACACAGATGGTTCCAACTCATGGTGCCACCTCGCTCGAACTGGACCCGAACGATCTCCACCCGGTTCCACGTTGGTCTCTGTCTGATTCCCACAAACCACCGGACTCCACTTGGTCCCAACCAGCTAGTACAAATCCTCTGGAATTGTTGTCCTTTAAGTTACCCATCCGTCATCACATTCCGTTCAAGTGTGTTGCAGTTGAGCAGCTTTTCAATTTCAATCAGGTCCACGTGCCTCATCAGCATGCCTCTGCGACAATATCAGATTAGCCCGAGGGCATCAAGCCCATAGTCCTCCAGTAATCCGCTTGCGGCAGATCCAAAAAAAAGGTACGTGTCCGGGGGCTAGGTCCCACTTGCACGAATTAAGAGATACTGACCGTAGATAACAAAGATCAACGGCCGAAATCTCCTAATTTGTGCGAGTGGGACCTTGCCCCGGGTGTCCCATTTCTTGCCAATCACCTTCCCGCAGGTGAAGCACGGAACAGAGATAATCTTTTTTTTTGGGGGTAACTTCGGCACAGTCACCAAAACAGTTTGTAATTGCATTCGAAACTGCGTTTTAGCAGTTTCGTCAGGGCCCGAGTTTCAATTGCAGTTGAGACTAGGCCCGAGTTTCAATTGCAGTTGAAACTCGGCCCTATGCATTTCAGTCAGGGCCCTCGTCTATCCACGAACAGCAGATAAAAAAAAAAACAAAAAAAAACATCCCTTATCCTGGGATTGCGGTCCGATACAGGACGCTACAGTACTTGCCTGAACTCAATGAAGCATGGAATCCGCCCTGTACAGGGACCTCACAACAAGAAACAAAAAAGGAAATCGACCTGTTTCATGTTCCTCACTTCCTGGCCAGATACATTCCTCAAAGCACCCGTGACCTGAGGGCCTTCCCGAGGTAGGTGGATTCCAAGTTCCTTGTTTCTTTACTTTTTTGTTTTCTTTTTTCTTTTTTTGGCCTCCATCCCTGCCCCGAGCCCCCCACTTCTTCAGAGTAGGCTACTCTTGAGACTTCGCGTTTGCCTGTGAAGGGTAGTGCCTGCGAATCTGGGCTGTGGCGGAGACATCTCGGCCGTGGCCAATCTGGGGTGTGGCCGAGACATCTCGGCCGTGGCCAGTCCGGGGTGTGGCCGAGACATCTCGGCCGTGGCCAGTCTGGG